TATTCCCTCTACTAAAGAAAATCTAGAGGAAAAGCCATATGTATGCTCTAGGTCTGTAGTAGAAAAGACCAAGTGATTAAACAAAAGCTGTTAACAAGGAGAAAATTAAAACCTAAAAAACGTTTGACGAAAGTAAACGATGCATTTATCATTTTCTGTTAAACGTAAATAAATCATTTACTTTTTTCAGAGAAAGTAGCGAATTAAGTAAAATAAGTGACGCATCGCTGTTTAATAACATGTCCTCTCAATTTGCATCAATTCGTTTATTTACACTATATGTTTAGATCCACGGGAACACCCGCAACAATCTGATCCTTACGAATTTGGGAATCAATCAGGTATGCACCAGTATCGGTACGAGTATGGATACCAAAAATACTGACTTTTTTTGACTTGGACACTATTCGGATTTTTTCATTTCAAATGAGATATTTCAGCGTCCTGGACGACCAGAAGACATTGAATATTCTGAGCATATGCAGATAGAAAACAAAGAAAAACGTTGACTTTAGAAAGAAAACGAAGTGCTTGTTTTGCGCTCCTAATTCTTTCTGGGTGCCCAGGACGCCAAAATATCTCATTTCTAATGAAAAACTCGAAAAAATGTCGGTATCCAGTATGCTGAAACCGGTACATATCTAGAATCAATACCAGTTTGAAAATGAATTTTAATATCAATTACAACAAGGTTTTGACGGTGATGAAATTCCAAATCCAAAAAATGCCATGGTTATACCTAAATCATCTGTCAGCCAAAAGGAGAAAAATGATCAAGGTAAACAAAGCAACAAGTAATTTTTCTTTTACAAATAAAACTATCTTTGCTTTACAGCAACTGCAAGTGATGATTCAAGTGACGATGAACAAATGGAAGTATCGGATAACGATCAGCCATCATCTTCATCGCGACCGCTTAATGTTAAAAATCCGACCAATGAACAAGTTGAAAGTAACCACCGACAATCACATACTGAATGACGATCAAACCGTCTTTTCTGTTTATTTAGATCTAACTGCGGACACAATGGCAAAACATCCGCCAGTGGATCCAAAATTGAAAAAGATTGCAAAAAAAATTATGCTTCACAATTCGGTGGTGTTCGCTCAGGCCGACATCACTCGCATAACGACACATGGTGTTGAAAGAGACAAAGCAAAAGATATGCTGGTTGCTGCTCAATTACTAGGACAAGCTGATTATTTCGTGTCAAGAAGCAATATTGGCGGCAAAATAAAAGAAACAAAACATTCAGGATATCTCAAGTAGGTTGATATAGTTTTTTAATAACCACGATTCTCATTTCATACGTACCCTCCTTAGTGGACACATTCCTTTTCATTTAGGTATTTTCCGAAAACAGATTCAAGCGACGATAAAGAAAATTTTATTTCGAATTTGAGAAGACATGTAAGCAGCGCTTCACCTACTTTACATTGGATTGCATTTATCACATTTTAGACCGATCTCAAGTGGAGTGAATATGTCGAATCGTATACAAAGCACCATCCAAATTGCGTGTCAACTGGTAATTCAACGTGGAAAATCACGGAAGAAGTTGCTGCATTATTAGATGTTGATTATTATTATGCGCAACATGTGCGTTACGATCGAGCAACATGTGTATTTTCTCCAATACAGCAACAACCGTCGCTTGTACCAGCCACAGGAAGTACGCATACAGTCTGAATCACACCAATGTCGTCTGTTCTTACGCTTATCTAATTTAGAACTTGATGTTTTTCATGAAAAAAATAACAAACGTAACCAAAAAGCCTCACAAAAACAAAAACCGGCGAATACACGATCAGGTAAACAACAGCAAGATGAAGACGAACCACAAGAAGACGCAAGAAAACAATCAAGCACAAGCAGCGTGATAGTTTTTCGAAGTCGAAAAACAAAACGAACAAAGAAAGCATAAACGACAACGAAGATCTTATTGTATTAGTTCTTCCAAACATTTCAAACTTCCTTATGCTTACATTTCTTTTAATGTACGGTTGTGCTTTTCTTCTCTCCTTTCTTTTACTATATGTCTTTCTATTTTCACTTGGCGCATCTCGTCTATCACAGTCACCCACTTTCGTTCTTTTTGGTACTCACTATACACGTTAACCCTTGATATACAAGTTTAAGTGACGACAAAACTCAAATATATGCCGAAATCGCAGTAAGACAACTCATTACCAAGTTTTTTCTTTTATTTTTTCATATCGTGCAAATAACACATAATCAAGGAAGTGGATAACTCATTATTTAGAATGTACTTTTCTTTTCTTCACATGTATTAATCATGAACGCGTACATGTACATTTTTAAAAAAATTTCTACTTGTTTTCGAAATGTAACGATGCATTGGATATTCCAACCGGTGTACACAAGTGTAAATATTTATTTTTATTTTTCTCATTTGTTAAACTGCAGTTTAACACAAGTCGTACTCGTTGGCAA